TCTCTCTCTCTCTCTCTCTCTCTCTCTCTCTCTCTCTTTGTAGTTGTTGTTTTCCACTCCTTTTTATATTTCTTACAAATGTGTTTTGGATGTGTGGATTTTGCATACAATTATCTGGTGTTAAAAAGAAGAAACTTAAGTATCCCCTTGGAAGCATGGTAATATTCACTAACAGTTCTTTATAGGAGCAAAGCATTTCCCCTACATTAATCTGATCTGAGTCTCATGACAAATCCATGAAGTGAGCTGGGCCAATATTATCATCTCCCTAGAACAGATAAGGAAGCTGCCCAGCAGGCCCTGCGTGGAGTCCGGGGCTCCTGACTCCCCCTTTCCTGCACTCTGCATCCTGCCAGCTTCTCCCTGCCGCTCACAGCAGGACTATCCTGGTCTCTGGCAGAAGTCTGGTCTCCTTCCCTGTCATTTTGCCAGCTCACAGTTTTTAAACTCTCTTGGAAGAGAGCTTATCTCTGGGCCCTATCCTGATGAGGATGTCTACCCTCAGCATGTAATCACACGCTGACTTCTCAAGCATTTATTCAGGCGCTTTAGAAGCTGCACTTCACAGTTGGCTTGGTCCCTGCTCCCCACACCTAATACCTATCTCTGGGCTAAGTGCAGCGATAGCACTGGTTGTGTCCTTCCGCATGTGGGCATCTTCCTTTCATCCTGCTGGTTTGCAGGATAAAAGACTACTTGCTACCCCCGATATCTCTCACAGGACAGGCAGATGTGGGTTTGCTTGGCAACTATGCCCTTTCTGGAGGTGGAGGTCTGCGCTGGGATAGACCCGCTACTCTACCCCATACCACCAAGGCAAATTGTGATGTGGGGCTGAGACCCTAGTTTCAGGACCTTTACTCCTCGTGCTAGGTTAGGTCTTGCCAAAGACTTGGAGGCAAAAGGATGCAGGCCCCAGAATGGGTGCCAGGCCAGCATCTCTGCTCCACCTGTTCTAACTGCAGTGTCTCTCACTGTAAGAGGATTGTAACCCTGTGTCTCAGGAGCACAGGGGCTGTGTGAGAGAAAGGGCAGGTGCCTCCACACAGCACTATGTGTCCAGCACCCGGGTCATGTCAGTCGATGAGGGTGAGCTGGAGTGTCTGGCAGATGGGACTACTTTGTTCATAACTGGATTTGGAGCTCCAAGGTGTGGTGGTGTACTTCTGTCATCCCAGCACTCAGGAGGCTGAGGCAGGAGGCTCTCCACAAGTTTGAGGCCAGTCTGAGCCACTTAGTGCATTCAAGACAGCCTGAACTACACAGCTAGACCCTGTCTCAGGAAAGAGAGAGAGAGAGAGAGAGAGAGAGAGAGAGAGAGAGAGAGAGAGAG